GAGGTAGGGGGTGGGCAACAATCACTCTGATTGAGAATGACTAAATAAGAGCTTTAAATATTATGTAATATATGGTCCTCTAAAAGTCATGATTTAGTGATTTTTTTTTTAGTGAATGAGATGTAACATTCATAGCACTTACATAGAATGTCATAAAAATTTAGGGGCCAGGGAGATGGCTCAGGGGAATAAGTGTTTCCCTGGCAAGTGCAAGGGCCTAAGTTCAATCCCTGCTTCTGCCCCTGCCCCCCCGCAAAAAAAAATTGGGGGGGAAAAATCAAGTATGTGATACATTGGCCCGTTATTTCTCAGTCATTTATACATCCATCCATTTGACAAACTGATATTAGGCACTGAGTATAGAATATCAGTAAATACAAAAGGTGGCACCATATTCATAAAATGGTAGTACAGGTAGACTTATGCATGACAGTCATGTCACATATAGTTAATGCTAGCAGATGAGGGAGGCAGAGGTCACCATGTACCTTCCGCTGCCAGCTAGCCTGGCTCTTTGCATTGGAACTTTGGTCATGCCTGTTCCACAGCCTTGAGAACAAAGGTTCAGCTCTGCGTGGCAGAACACTGGAGCAAAGAACAGCTCGGACACCACTTCACCCTATCAAAGGCTAAGCCAGTAGCTGAACTAGTGAGAAACTGGAAGGTGTTCAACACAGGAGTTTTACATGCTAAAGTCCATACTAACTTTGAGAAAGAACAAAGATTTTAGAGCCACACCCACATAAGTTAAATACTGACTTCTCCACTTGCAAACTGGATACCTAGGCAAGCATCGGGTTTCTGAGGCTCATGTCCTCACCTATGAATAATGGTTGCTTCATTGCAAATGTTAAGTGAGACAGTGTATAAAAGCACTTGGCATACTATCTGCTTCAGAAAAACCACTCAATGATTATTAGTTCTTTCCTTCATTCGCCAGTCTGTCCTGCTGCCATTTTTCTCATCAAGGATGCAGTGAGAGGCTTATGCCTGGGAGGTTGGCATTCTCCAACATCTGACTTGTGTTGTTGAATGTTGCTGGAGTTGCCCAAACCTTTGCCACTGGATTTGTTTACCCTAAAGTTGAGTGTTTAAATGTCTTATATTGGTAGCGTCAGTTTGACGTCCATGTTAATCTTACATGAGATTTTAAGATCTGGAACCTGGACAAGGCTTTTTCTACCATATCCATGGATCTGGAGCCAAATGTCACCATCATGGCCACGGGAATTAGGGAGGAAAAGAACCCAATGGAAGAAATGAACATTTTCTATCCAAAAGAATCTAAATGTTTTGCCAACCAAGTTTCTGGTAACATGTCTTGAATGCTGGTGTTTTCATTCTGTTGGAAAACAGTGACAGCCAAACGGAGAGCAAGGGAGACCTGGTTTGCATTTGGAAATACCAACCAAACCACATTCCCACCCCTTCTGCAAATTTATCACTAACGTACACAGAGCTTTGTATACATAATGCAGTGCAGGCCTAGGCTGTTTTCTTTGGAATCCTGACATGTCTGTTTCTCTCACATGCACACACTCTGCAATGATGCATCAAAAAATGAAAAGAACATTTCCAAGAACACACTTCATTGTCAGGAGCATGTACGCCACATAATATAGTAACTATAGTAGACAAACCCTCCTCCCCACCATCGTTGCCTGAGCTTCCACTTTTCCCTTCCTGTGACAGTGACACTTGTAGGTATCTAGGAAAGGTACGCTTCCAGAAACAATCTTGAGGATGGCTGCCTCCCCCGAGCCTGTCTGAAAGATGCTTGCCAGGGCTCCCTGACCCTCTGGTCACCAGCTGCTGCCGAAGGAGAAACCAGACTCTTCTATAATCCCTTCCATACCCAGGGACTTAGTTTATTTAACTTATGTATGTCATGGCTATGATAACATACAAGTTCAGATTAACCCGAGGGGGAAGTGGCAGGATCCCCATGGCCTCAGCATGTCCTTTAGGATTTAGAAGGTTCTAGAATGAATGGTCAGCTGCTGTGCTACGTCTTTATCCCATTACTTTCTTTCCATTCCTTGTTTCCATGACCTTTTCCTTTAAAAAAAAAAAAAACTTTTGAAACTACTTTAGGCAACAGAAAAATTATAGAAGTAGTCCAGAGAGTTCTCATATATTCTTCACTCCACTTTTTAAACAACCACAGTGCAAGTAACATCTTAGCTAACCACAGCACAAATATCAAAGTTGAGGAATTCATTTTCTTATTTATTGGGTATAATATGACTGATATTAAGACTACAATATTGTTAACAAACTATGGATTTTATTTGGACTTCACCAGGTTTTTCACTTACGTCCCTTCTATTGTTTCAGGAGCCCATGTTCCATTTTGTCATCTTTTTTCCTTAGTCCATGACAATTTGTGACGATTCCTCAGTCTTCCCTTACCTTGCATGACCTGGACACTGAAAGCAGTAATCCATGACTATGTGCACCATCCCACGGCTAGGACATGCATGGTATTTTCTCGTGGGTTCACTGATACTGTGCATTTGGGGGGAAAATATCCCACAATGATTTGTGCAATTTCCAGTGTCCTTACAAGGGTAGATGGTGTCAATATATCTTAGAAGGAATATTAACCTTGGTCACTTGGTTAAGATGTTGTCAGCTGGCTTTTCCTACCATATAATTACTACTTTTCCTTTTACAGTTGATTAATGTACTAAAGGAGAGATACTTTGAAACTATGTGCCTCCAAACTTTGGTCCGATGAATTTGCTGTCCTTGATGGTATAAACCTTGCACGCAGCGTTATGCTACGGCATGGCAGTTTCTGAATCCCCTCACGCCTTCTACATGGAGTCCTTGGAACTCCCACAACCTTTGATCTGACTCTCCTCAAACTTATATTTTCACCTCGTAGGATTTTGCTCATCTTCCTCCTCTTATTTTCTAAACAGGATCCCATAGATATTGTCAAGAATAGAAAGGGGGCCGGTGAGACAGCTGAGCAGACTAAGTGCCTGCTTAGTCAAGTGCAGGGACTGGGGCTCTATCCCCGGTACCGCATGCTGCACTGGCCCTGCCCTTGGGCGTGCTGAGCTGGTGACTGAGTCTGGGCATGGTGGCACACACTTGTAATCCCAGTGCTGGGGAGACTGAAAATAGGAGGATCAAGCTGTGGACTATACCATATACATAAAATTTTTTTTTTAAATGAAAAGGAAGAAGTAAATTAAAAAACACAAAGAAATAAAATACAAAAGCCTAGAAGGATTCAGGTCTGGGTTCACCTTCGGTGTTTGAACAAATCACTGTCCTTTCTGAACTTCAGTGCCTCCCTTCTCCCAGGGTGTGTGTCTGGGGAGGGGCAGGGGTGAGAGCCGGGGCCTCACGCACACCAGGCAAGTGTCACTACCCTGCTCAGCCTCTTTCAGACTCTAGGAGTCTGTGACAGAAAATGGGCCAGTGACGGAATCTGCAGCTTGTGTCACCAGAGTGCCCAACAGCAAGGTCATAAACACAGGGCAGCAGCAGCACAGACAGGGGAATTCAGGAAGGGGAGGAAATGGTCCATGAATCTTTTACAAGCGCTGGTGAGACCGACATTAATAATGCTTTCCACACTGCAAAGCACAGTGGAGAGGAGTGCTCAGGTTTGGGAGTAGGCAGCCCCATCTGCAATGAGGTCCTTTGTCTCTGCCTGGCCTGGGAAACAGATGAATCAGCCCTTTACTCTCCAGATTGAAGAATCCATGGTGTGTTTTTTCACTGTCTGTTTCATTACTTTGCATCAGTCTTAATACCCATTTAAGGCTTAATGGTTGCAGAATTACACTGCATGTAAAATATAGTTTTTAACAGGATAGTTAAGAGCTGAAGTTTCACTTTTATCCTCTACAGAAAGCTCACAAAACATGCAGGCATAATGACTAAAATTTCCCTTAATCCCTTATAAGCATAGCCTGTTTCTACTGATTTGCAATACAGAGCCAATTTTTATTGTTATTTTAAATATACAATGAGAAATTACCAATTATATTGCCCATATTCCTAGATAATTTTAGAACGTCAGGCATCATTACAAAAAAAGGGGAAAAAAAGACTAAGAGAGAACAGTTTGTGATAATAAAAGGAAAAGTTGGCTCCCAGGAGTGACTGAATGCTGCATCCAACAGAACAATCCAGAGTTGATCAGATAGAAGTCCACATTGGCTGAGCTGAGCTTGCCTGTACTCAGCTCAATACCTAATGTCCAAAATGAAGGAAGGAAAGGTTTATTTAGTGCATAGTTACTAAAGGTTTTGATTCATACTCAGCTGGCTCCAAGGCAGAGTGGCACAGGGCAAAGAGCACCCACTCATGGTGGCAGCAAAGAGCAGAGAGCAAAAGGGAGGAGTGGCAGCAACAATGACTACAGAGAGCAAGTTTGTCTCCCTTATGTTGCATTCAGGCTAGCCACCACAGGCTAGCTGTAGCACTCATACCTATAATCCCAGCAGCACTCACACCCATAATCCCAGCAGCACTCACACCCATAATCCCAGCAGCACTCACACCCATAATCCTAGCAGCACTCACACCCATAATCCCAGTGGATCATGAGTTAATCACAAACTCTAGAAGTCCACCCCATGACTGCATGAGGCTTTGGGGGGACAACTAGACTCAAAGTGTAACACATGGGTGAGATGGATGGATGGATGGATGGATGGATGGATGGATGGATGGAAAGATGGATGAGTAGACACATGGATGGGATGGATGGACAGAAGGATGGATGGATAGAAGGACAGAAGGATGGATAGATGAACAGATGAATGGATGGAAGGATGACGGATGGATAGAAGGAAGGATGGGTGGATGGATAGATAGATGGACTTATGGATGGATGGATAGATGATGGGTGGATGAAAGAAAAAAGAAAAGATTCCAGACATGAGTGAAATCTGTTGCCAATTTGTTTCATTTAAGATAGTATAGTATGACGGCTGAGCGGGCTCTCACGTGGAGGCGGGGCGGTGTGTGCTGCAGAAATGATCACCAAAACTCAGAAAGTAGACCTGGATATTGGGCTTCCAGAGAAAAAGAAGAAGAAGAAGGAGGAGGAGGTAGTCAAAGAACCAGAGACTCAATACTCAGGTGTAAATGATAAGAATTATTTTGCTGATAATTCTGTGAGGACCACATCCCACTCTAGGACTGTAAGCCAAGAGCAGATGTCCCATATACCCTTGTTGAAGAAAAAAAAGAAGAAAAAGACAGGCCACAGCAACTTTTATGAAGAACTCCCAGAATCTGAGCTCACATCACAAGCGAGACAGACAGAGAAGTCACCCAGCCCCAGGAAGCAGGCCTTTGACCACTCAGAGTCCTTCAGTGGGAAGAAAAAGAAGAGGAAGACCTTGCCTTTGGCCACATCAGAGGGCTCAGAGGTAAAGACCTCCCCTGACCCCAGTCTGGGTGAGGAGACAACCAGAGTTTGCAAGAAGCCCAAAAAACACAAGAAGGAAAGAAAGGACCAGGATACCACAGCCTGTTCTGTCCAGGACCCTTGGCTCTGTGAGGCAGGAGATGCTACGTATGGATGCATGGTGGAGAAGGGGGCTGAGGAGCAGGCATCCTCGGGGCAGAAAGGGAAGCAGGGCAGCTCCAGAGAACACAGCAGGAAAGTGAAGAAGAAGAAAGTGCACCAGGAAGAAGACACCCTCCCAGGCCATTCTGAGCTCTCCAGGTCCATGGAGACCAACCCTAGGAAAGGAAAGAAGAAGAAGCCAGTCAGAATTGAGGTTGTAGAGTACATCCCACTAGGAGATCACCCTAAAGCCAGAGTGAAGAAGAAAACAAAGGCTAAGAAAAAGGAAGAAAATCCAGTTGTTGAGCTGGCTCAGAAAAGGAAGAAAAAGAAGAAGAAAGAGAGCACGGTAACAGTAGACCCCTTGGAGGAGGAGCCAGATACAGACCTGGAGGTGGTGATGGAGAAGAAAGGCAACATGGACGAGGCACACATAGACCAGGTGAGGCGAAAGGCCTTGCAGGAAGAGATTGATCGGGAGTCAGGCAAGACAGAAGCATTTGAACCCAGGAAGTGGACGGGAACCCAGTTTGGCCAGTGGGATACTGCAGATTTTGAAAACAAGGAACAGAAACTGAAATTTCTCAAACTTATGGGTGGCTTTAAGAATCTGTCCCCTTCCGTCAGCTGCTCCCCTTGCATGACCACAAGGCCCAACATGGCCCTTGGCAAGGTAGCAGCTGACACCCTGCAGCAGAAGTTGCAGCAGGACTACGACCGGGCCATTAGCTGGAAGTACAACCGGGGTGCTGGACTTGGCTTCTCTGCCACCTCCAACAGAGTCTTCTACATTGACAAGAATGCATCTAGGTCTGTCAGGTTGGAAGATTAAATGCTAATGTCTTCTACCAAAAAAAAAAAAAAAAAAAAAGATAGTATAGTATATGTTAAGTGCCTTTCCCAATAAGGCTATTCTCAGATCTACCAGCTATTGGAGAAATATACTAGGTTAGAGTGCTACCTCTCAATTATCCTTTTATAATAAGGAATTTATGAAATATTCCTGTGATAAAACTGCTTTCTGTAAATATACATTTGGAAACTCGTAGGAAAAGTGAGTGTGGGAGAGTGAGAGGCAAATACATCATGAATTAGAACAGAGACTCTATGCTATTAAGCTGTGATTTCCTTACATACAGAGACCAATTTCTCTTAGTTACTGCTGTATCCCTAATGCTACATCTACAGCCTGACACATAGTAGGTGCTCCATGAGTTGCTGATGCGTGACTCAGTGGTTGATAATGGAAGTTATTCTTGTGTCATTTGCACCCTGAATTATGATCCTTTATTTCTGATATGCCAGCTGGAGTTGCACATGAAGCTCTATGCCTTGGATTTAATAATAATTCATAACAATATTTCTCACAGTGCTGTTCTTGGGAAATTAGTAGGAAGTATTCAATAAAAGAAGGGTTCTATGTTTGAAGTTTGATCTATGAAGGGATAAGCAAGTTTGTTGTTATTATTTTTAACTGCAGAAACTATCAGAGTCTTTGATAATTGCAGTGGGTTTTGGGGTACTCACCAAGAGCACCATAAAAAAATTAAACTACAGAATCTACCCCTACTTAAAATATCTTTCATGCAAATGATAAAATCAACCAAATTGGGCAAACATTAATTATAACATACAGAGAATTTTGTTTAGGTAAATCATCCTAAAACACTGTTTACCCAGTCTTTGACCTTTAGACAAGGTCCTCTTGTGTGAGGAAAAAACTTCTAAATCAAATATCAAAATGAAAATGCCTCTGTACGTGCAAATATTATTCAGCGGATGGATGGATGATGGATGGATGGCTGGAAGGATTAATGACCATATCAGAGTCATATTGTTGGATAAATGATATAAGAGTGAACACCATCAGCAACAATATCCCAGAGAGTTCTTGAGATTTCCATTAGCTACAAGTACATTCATGTGCAACCACTAGACCTTTTCCCTCCTGCTTCCTCCCCACAAAGTGCTGCATAACCTCTTGCTTGGTGCAGCAGCTGCTCAACTGACCTTCCCACATCTGGTCAGAACCCTCAGTCCGCTCCTGCCCAGCCCCTGGCATTCCTACGTAACCTGTCCTATGTGTGTATCCAGGGCCTCCTCCAATGTGGTCCTGACTCCCTAATTTCCCTCCCTAATTTCCCATCATTCCCTTATGTCTGGACTACACTCTCCCCAAGCCAGCCCCCACCCCGACCCCTTTCCTCAGTATTCTGAAATTCCTCTCTGCCAGGTTGTTCCTTAAGTCCTCTCCTCTCCAGATGGACTCTCCCTCTGAAGAATCATATCGCTTGGGAAAGGTTTCCTAAAACATTACCTACTTTTGCACTTTCGTGACGAACCACCTCTGTGAGAGTATCTTGGGTCCTGCTAACTTTTGAATCTCTGTGGCTTTCTCTGATCTCACTCATCCTCACCTACCATCCCATCAATCTGCCTCTTTCCTACCATGTTCCAAACTTGCTCACTGAGCCATAAATTCCTGCCGGCCAACAGCTTTCTCTCCTTTCCCCAGCACCTTGCACAAAGTGAGCCCACCACAAATAGCCAGCCAGTTCCAGGACCCTTTGTGGCCCATAAATGTACCTGTACCATTGCCCATCCATAGAGATACACAGAGAATCAGGCACAGGTTGTGCCCAAAGAAAACCTAAATGCCAAATGGGAAGCCCAATCATCTCCCAGAATTTTTTTTTTTCAGAACCGGGGATTGAACTCAGGCCCTTGTGCTTGCCAGGGAAGCGCTTATTCCACTGAGCCATCTCCCCAGGCCCCCATCTCCCAGAATGTAGAAATTCTGGAATTAGTAATGGGTTACGATGCTCACAAATTCATTTTAAGTGCATCCTGTGGAACCTGGGTTACATTTTCACTTAGAAAAGCCTTCTGTGTGGTGCTTGTCTCCCAGCCAGCCCACAAAAGCCTATTTAACTTGTCATATGTCTAAAGTCCGATACTAATAGCCGCCCCAGGGGTTCATGGCCTCTTCTCTCAGGCCATAGTCAGTGTTAATGCTGCAGACCTTGCCCGGAGGCAAAGTTTGGGCCAGGATGAAGGTACCATCTCTGGCAGCTGTAATCATGCATGATAGAGGGGAGGGGGTACAGAGGGAAGGGTCTACTGTCAGCAGAAAGGAAGAAAACGGGAGGAAGAGGGGGCCACAAGAAACCGGCAACCGCATCTCGCAGCAGCCACTGTAGTATAATGGGGACGTGCGAGCTGAGCACGTGGCATTTTGGAGGCACGCACAGTCGCCAGCCTTCTCTGATGCTACAAGGACTGTGCAAGGCTGCCTGCCAGCCTGTGCCTGTCTCAGAGGCCTTTTGCCTCATAGAAACTGAATGCTTTGCTAGGGACAGACTGATTCAACACTGGAGACACCTGCCACGGTACAAACGGAAGCCAGGGACTCAAGGGGTCAAAGCCTCTGCAGACCCTGGAAATTCACAATGCAGAACCAGAGTAAAAGTACTGGGGACTGTGGCAAGCTGCGTAGCACATGTTATGTGCAGATGGAGTGGCCTCCCTTAACCTTCGCTCAGGTGTTTGCCCTGCTACAAAATATTTCTTTTTTTAGGAGAATCCATTAAGCACCATTTTTATGTACTATCACCTGGGTTTTATATATTGACAGTTAATTTGGAATTTTAAAACATTGCGTAAGATAAGTGGGAGCACACAAAAGCACACACACGCAAACACACAGTTATGGGTCAGGCCCTACCCATGAAATCTTTGCTTTATGTGGTCCTATTTCACTTAAAGTGATCTAAAAAAACTATAAATAGAACTTTTGTAGGTAGAATCACATATTCCCATATAAGTTTCATTAATGAAACCTAATGAAATTCATGAACATTAAATTTTCAGAAATGTATTCCCACTGGTAAAGATTTTTGTTCAACAATACTAGAAAAACTCACTTTGGGTAATTATTTATGCACCTATTTCAAGAGGAAAATGCCAATTTCTGATAAAATTTTAACAATAATGCACCAATTCTCTATTAACTTTAATTGCTAACACCTCTATATCCCACATAAGATAACTCAGAAAACTGGTGAGATTTTCAGGAAAGAAAGGGGATACTTTTAGACAAAAGCTCACATCAGCATTTCTGAAGTCAGCCCCAGCACATAGTCATCCCAATTCTCTGCCAATAATGTATCTAGGAAATTTGTCTTTAAATTTCTCACTCTTGGGCTGGCGAGATGGCTCAGTGGTCTAAAGCACCTACTTGGAACAAGCTTGGCTAAAGCACAGGGACCACGGTTCGATCCCCCAGCACCACATGCCAGCCAGCCTCGCCCCCTGGTGGGCTGAGCTGGCCACACACACACACACACACACACACACACACACACAATAAATAAAAAAAAAATAAAAAAAAAATAATAATAATTTTCTCACTCTTTCTATAGTATCTCTTAGGATAAATCAACCCAAGTCCAAGAGCCTAAGATATTACTAGTTATGGTCTATTGACCCGGTGTTAAAATGTTACCAACAGGAAAACTGTTCAGTTAGCGATTTTCAATGATGTGTTCAGACATCCTCAGTGCTAGTAGCAGGAGAACGGATCAAAAGAACAGCCATCTCCATCCGGGTACCAGATCTGCTCCATCAATGTGGCAGACAACAAGAATCCAAACCATGGTATTTTTTTAAATTTTATTTATTTATTTATTTATTTGTGTGTGTGTGTGTGTGTGTGTGTGTGGCCAGCTCAGCCCACCAGGGGGTGGGGCTGGCTGGCATGTGGTGCTGGGGGATTGAACCGCGGTCCCTGTGCTTTGCTAAGCTTGTTCTAAGTAGGTGCTTTAGACCACTGAACCATCTCACCAGCCCCTTCTAATTTTTTTGTGGAACCGGAGATTGAACTCAGGCCCTTGCACTTGCCAGGGAAGCACTTATTCTACTGAGCCATCACCCCAGCCCCAAAACCATGGTATTTTGCCTATAGCTTTTGAGTTCTATTCCAGAACTGTCACTGAACCTTGTCAATTAACCTTTTTGTCTACATTGTCAAATTTATATCTACCCAAAGGGTCTTTCTGAGAACGAGGCAGAATCATGTTGGCACGTACTCATAGCACATAACCATTGTTCTCCGTAGATGACAACTGCTGGGGTCATTCATTCTTAATGATGTCATTACCATGACCAGAGGATGCACTTCTCTTCATGGGCTCTTCCTCTGCCTACCAGCTATGGTCCCATGAGATCACACTGGTCCAGGGACAGGATATGAGGCAGTCCCCACTTGTGCTATAGCTACAGAGTGGAGGTGATTCTTAAAATGAGAGGTATAAGTGTGCTCCCTCACCACTTATCAAGAGCATGGTGGTCTCAAGAAGACCAAATGTATTGTTGTTTTTCATCTCTGGATGCATTCAGGGTCCATCACTTGGGCATAGCACATCTTCTCCATGAATACATTATTGGGGTCACTAGGAAATAATTACTTTCTAAAGGGCAAAGAATACCTTTTCTTGCTATCTGTGATGCCTGGCTTGGAGCTGTAGACCAGGCGTCATAGTTTTAGAACAAGTAAGCTACTCATTTGGCATGAAATATTGAACTGGTGGATGAATTAGTGCTTTCATTTCCCCATGGCTGGCCTTGACCAATGGAAGAATCCCTGCACTAAATGCAGAGAAAGCATTATTGACAGTGGGAATCTCCAGCACAAACAACGTTAAAACGAATGAGGAAAGAACCAATCCTTTGTTAGAATCTCTAGAGCTAGTGTCTGTAAAGTTTGATCCAGTCTGGCAGATGAGGATAACTCCGGCTGCCTTGGCTGGGATTTGATGCAGCTGGTGGACTAGC